CGGCTCCGTCCGGACACGGGTTGGGCTGAAATGGAAAGACGGGGATGGAGCCCGGCTGCCAGCTCTCGCTTGTTGGCTTTGTGAAATGCTTGAGGTTCGCCCGCCGTGCCGTTCGAGCCGGCCTTCCGCGGGAAAAGGGGAGGATGGAGTAAGTTAAGACGAAATGACAAAGATGGCAGAGGAGTCCAGCACAGGCCCGCCGTCCGCGCGGGGCGGCAGCCCGGCAGTGCAGCTGCGCTGCCTCGCAAAGGTTGTTTTTGGCACCTCTCCCCTTCCCCTACTGGTTTAAGAAATATGAAGCTTACTTGGTGGCCCAGTGCTCTGCGATTTTGCAACGCTACTCAAAAGAGGGTCACTTTACACCAGTTGTTTCTCAGGGATCTCCACGCTAGGCTCATACCACTTCTTTTTTGCAATAAAACGAGGTTTAAAAAAATAAAAATAAAACCAACACCAAAAACAACACAACCACTCCTCCCTACCTGTCCGCAACCCTCCTGTTTAGGATCCAGCGGTTTTGATTCTCGCCTCGGGATGCCAGTTCGCAAGCAGAGGGTGCTTACAGCAGGCTTGCACGGACAAAGCAGCGTCCCTGCCGCTGCCAGGAGCGCCTTGCGAGCGGGCCAGGCAGTCGGCGAAGCCGACTCCACCCGCGGCCATGCCGGATCGCCCACACAGCATCCTTGTGCAACAGGCAGCGCGGGGGGCAACCCGTGTCCCCAACGCCCCGAGGCACGGCCCTGCCCGACAGACCATCCGTCTGGGTCACAGGGAATATGGCACTTTTCTGTATTTCACACGACAGGAATACTCGCTCCCCTCTCCCAACAGGGGCCAAGTCTAGTTAAGGCAATTTAAAATTAACCCAGGTTTGGCATTTGCGAGCTCCTCGCTTCCCTGTGTGATAATGCTGTCAGCCCGGGTTAGCTTAAAGGTCCGTTTTCCCCAGGAACCTGTCTCCGAGAGAAGCCAGAGGAGGATGCTTACGGAAAGAGCAGAAAAACAAGCGGCAGCGATTCTCCTCTAACCCCCCTTACCCAGCTTGCAGCAATAATCACTTTGCATTTCCAAGTCCCTCCACTGCACCGTGGCTCACTGGCACTCGAGGGGTTTGTTCCCTCTTCCAGAACCTGGAACTAGCGCTGCTGCTCAGATGTTCCCAGCCCATCGGGACGCCTCACCCTCTACGCCCTTTGCGTCCTGCCTGGCAGCCGCTTTGCAGACAAAAATCTGATGGTGCAGCAGTCCAGTAAATCTCTCCCGATTGCCCTCAGGGTCGCGCTGGATCTCAGCTTGATCCGCACCCCAGAAAAACCCATCCTCCAGGCCCTTATCTGCTCTGTCAAAGATTAAAAATGCGCGCGCACACACACACAAGAAATCGGTAAGAACTCGATGGCACAAACTGAAGCCATCAATCAAACCCCAAGAAGGATTTTCAGCAACCTGGCAGCCTCGGGCTGGGCCTGGCGTTCCAGGTATCAGCAACATCATTAAATTCGGCAAGCCAGAGAAGCAACAACAGGCACAGGCTGGCAAAATACTTAACAATAGGAAAGGTTGGAGAGTTGGTCTTAACGGGACGTGCAGCTGGTCCCACCCCACAACAGCTGGACCCACAACCTCCAAAAGGCTTCGGAATTGTTTTCTTGCAGAACCCTGACCGAGAGAGTCACGTCCAAATTAAAACACACATCCGCAGCATCGGGGGTATCTGTTTCTAGATTTCCAAGCTATACTTGTATTCTATGTAAGGTAATATAAAACAGCAATAAAACCTAGGTCAGCTAGTTCAAGTTCACCATGTTCTCCCCCTGCCAGTACTGTATCTGTAGTGAGCAGCCTGGGAATTCACAGGGTTAGTGAGAAGAAACGTTTTCTTAAAATTAACTAATGAATTATAACAACAAAATTATGGGAAACAATGTAGGTTAGGTCTGATGTAACCGATGGGCAACTCAGTTCACACACTAGATGTTTTTAGGCACGCAAACTCCCCTCCTTAGGTGGAAGGGAGGAGGAAGCAAAGGCAATACCAGCATTTTCTGCTACTCGAGTCCCTGCGTAAAAAGTATGGTCACCCCGCTAGAAAAAGCACCTCTCCAAACGGACTGCAGCATTGCCCCGAACAGGCCAAAGATCACCGAAGCGCCCGGTGTTCAGAAAACCCCTCCCCACCCCATCTCCCCACTCTAGGCACTTTTAAATTTTCTTTTTTAAAAACACACTCTCAGCATGAACTGAAGAAATCAGCAAAGCGGAGTTTCGCCACCGCTCAGCGCTGACCACACAGATGCGTCTCAGTGGGGCAGTGACTCCGCTCTCCCAAAAGCGGGAAGCCCCGTAACCGTTCCGCCCCAGCTTCGCGTCCCTTTGTGCAAGTCTCCTTTGGCAGACTTGGCGAAACAGTCCAGGGGATATGAGGAAGGTAAAGGCAGCTTTTAAAATAAAATAAGAAGTCCCTCCTCACATTGCACCCAATGCACTCCACGGCCCCAGAGCCAGGAAGCGCACCCCACACAGGGTAGTCTGGAAATAATACTAGGGGGTCAGAGGGGAAAGAATTGTGCACTGTTGCCAAAAACTGATTATTTGACAGTGGGACGCAGCAGAGAACAGACATTTAAAGCCCATTTTCTTGCAGCACTGCCAGTATTCACTGGAAAGGAAGAGCCATCAGATCAACTGTCTGCTGTTGCAATGAGAAAACTAGCTGAAAATGTCCTTCATCTGAAAGGCCACGCGGCCGCAACAGGATCATCCATCTTTACTTTAAAAATCCCTCAGGATGGAGGGTTTATATGTGCTCTGCCTGGTGGCATCGAGAATCTGGAGGTTTAGCTCTCTTTTAAATAAGCAACCGTTACAACCCCTCCAGCTAAATCCCAACACCGCATCCTCAGCGTCCGTGAGGAGACCTTTTGGAAAGGCAGAGCACAAAGTCCTGCCAAAGCCGGAGGGGGAGGGAGAGGGGAGATATGCTGCTGGTTGTCTGAAAACCCTTGGCACATCTTTGGTTATGGGATGAAAGAGGAAGTGGTGGAAGGTTTGGCCACCTGATTCTTTGAGAAGATGTTAACCCAGGAGAGAAGGGGAAGAAAGGGACAGGACCACGGCTAATCCGACCATTCGTCCTCATCGAACTCCGAAGAGTCGTCCTCAGAGTCGCTGTACTCCACAGCGATGCGGCGTGACAGGATCGTTGCCACATCATTGCCCACAACGTCCCGTTTCTCCTGTTCTCGCTGCTCCTCCACCTTGCGGAGCTGGAAGCCTGTTGGGAAGAAGGCAACAGAGGGGATCACGCAAAGGCTTTGGTCACACTGAAATCTCCAAAGCAGCCATCCCTTTGACACAATCCTCTGAGCAAAGCCGCCTGTCCTCCGCCAGCGAGGATCGGACACGCTGTGGGATGACACTGATGGTGAATGACAGCCAGGACAGGCTGGGTGGGCAGGAGGGACGGGAAGCGAATCGTTTCCGTGCTCCTCTGAGGGGTTACACCACTGCCGCTCAATCCTCTCGCAAACTTGGCCCACACCAATTCCAGCACTGCTGTCTCCAAAGGTGCAGGTGAAGGCATAAAACCTAGAGAGGTGGTCACCAGGGCGGGCAGGCAAGGAGGGACCACAGGTCTCAAGTAGGGAGGCAGTCACACCACTCCTCGTGAGATGGCTCCCAAGAGTTCGCGCTCAGGTACCGTGGGGTTTTTCCAGAGGAAAAAGAGAAAGTTGGTACTGAAAGAAAACCTTACCTTGACGAATAGCTGAAAGTAGATCACTCCTGGCATCGCTAACTGCAGGCAAGGATGACTTGGGCTTGGAGGCGGAGGTGTCTGAGGGTGGAGGAGGGGGCGGGGGACCATCCAGGCCGCTGGAAGACAGAGGCGGTGGGCCAGGAGGAGGCGGTGGTGGAGGGGGAGGCGGTGCACTCCCACTGCCCGTCTGCGGCAGCGGAGGTGGGAGCACGCTGGCATATTCGACTGCTGGAGGAGGCGGTGGCGGTGGTGGGGCAGCAAACTCGGGGTGAGGAGGGAAAGAAGGGGGCGAGGGTGGTGGTGGGGTTCCCGGGGATGGGAAGCCCATGGGAGGTGGTGGAGGGGGACTGCTTCCCATCAGCGGTGGTGGTGGAGGTGGTGCCGGAGGGGGAGCGAAGCCCGGCCTGGCTGCTGTAGGGGATCCGATGGGAGGAGCTGGTGGTGGGTGACTTGGGCTAACCAAGCTGGATCGTTTGGTCCCTCCAGAACCAGAACCTCTTTGGTTGTCTACAGGATAGCTGTTGAAACAGAAGGAGAGAGAGAAATAAGGCTATTAGCTGTGAGGCCAGATTAGACCGTACAATCTCAGTGTTAATGCAAATCATGTGTGTTTGTTGCAAGCCAGACAAAAATTTAAGTTCCAGCTTTAACTGGTGTTTCTATGAGAGCTCACTCCTTGGTTTTAGTTCCCTTGTAGTGTTTCTTTTGGCATACACCATCAGAACAAAGGAAAGCTTCTGGGGACTGGCAGAAACGCTATCATCTGTCCCATCTCCCAGGCTGACAAGAACATGAGCCATCTCACCTCTCCGCCAGAGGCCAGGCATCACGTCTGAGCTCAGAGCAGCCTCCTGCCTTAAGAGCTCCTGCAGCAGTGCAAGCCACTACCCCTCCACGCTGAGGTCAGACTTGCGACACGCCAAGCAGGGATGTCTACCGTGATAAATCGCACAAGGACTGGTGGGTGTGCCAGGAAAGCATATGCTTTGAACACCTGCTAGGAACAGATCTCTTCACCGGATTCCACGGCTCAGAGCTGGAGTGCAGCAGCCATGTCTCATAGCTCGCCGTGGGGAGTGAAGAGGAAGACATGGAAACCCAACGTGCTCTTACAGAAAGCACTGATTCATGAGTGACTGAATCTTCCATTTATGGAAGCTGGGTTTATACCCCAAAACACTACTGTCCATAAGGTACTGTAATACCCTATGTACGTGTAAAACAGGCCCTAAACTTACACCTCCTTCCACGGTAAGATAGAAAAAATAAGATACGTTTGCCATGAAAACGTCACAATTTTTAACGGTACACAGTGCTGATCCAAGACAGGCTACTGGAGATCAAACCTAGCTCCCAGGGTTCTTTAAAAACAACCACCAAAACAAAACCAGAGAGGGGAGATCTCTGTGGCTAGGCAGAGATCTAAGCAACTGCATAAGGCAGCATAAGCTTCATCTGAAAGCTCGTTTCTGCTCTGCCCTAGAGGAACACGCTGCAGAGTGGAGCGCTTGGTCTCTCTGACACATCAGAAGAGCCTTTTCTGCAGCACTGCTGCCTTTGGATAAGATGGAGACAAGCTAACACAGTCCTGTCTATCAGACATACTTCCTCCTGTTACTTTTTGACTCTGTTTTACTGCTTTTTTTTAAAAAAAAAAAAAAAGCCACTCTCTTGTTTCACCCTTTGTGTCTTGAGCCACAATTCTCATCACTAGAGGTGACTGGAAGTCACCATTTCATCCAATACAAAGCAGCTGCCCTGAACTTGCACTGAAGTCTCTAGGAAGAAGTCAGCTGGTGTGCTCAAGTCCTTTAAATCTAACTACATCTACATCTTCAGTGCCCACGTTGTGATTTTGTCAAAAATCATAGGGCAAATGGTAACGAAAAACAGAGGCGAAAGAGCTGTGCAAAGAACAACTATCAGGAATGTAAGTCTACATGTTCTGGGACAACGGCACTGGAAAACTCATGCAATGGAGCCAGACCATTAATTAGGACCCTACTCTTCTACAAAGTGAAATAAGTCTGCTTCTCCTGTTCTGTATGTGAACAGAAGTCTCCTTCTCCAAGCCCGTTCTCCTGTTCTGTATGTGAACAACGACAGTGGCTGGGATTTAGGGAGAGCTGCGCTGCCTGTGCCTCTGTCCCTGCCTGCAGTTCCACTTCCCCTCCAGACAAGAGCATTCTGGTTCCCATACAACACCCGCTAGGAAGTTATGCTGAACTATCTCAGCCTGTCTCATGTCATCCTTTTACACCACCTACTACTCCTTGGTGACAGAAGGGATCCCGTAGGCTTACCTAAATTCCACCGGGGGTGGAGGCAGGCTGTCATCTGGGAATGAAGGAGGTGGTGGCACAATAGAGTCAGTCTGCGGCGGTGGCGGGTAGCAGTTCACGTCCATGCTTTCGTTTGAACCGATGCTGCCGTTCTGATATACCATGTTAGAGGGGTACCTGAGTGAATGCAAGACAAGCAATTTATTTAAAGAGTTCAAGGCGATGTCTAAAGCTCATTTGTCCCCTCACTCACAAGAGCGTTGCCTCCTGGAAGGGTTACAACAAACAACTGCGCAGCAGTTCAACTACTGAAGGGCAGCGGTATTAACCAAGTGGATGGATCAACCTGCAGTTTTTAGAAATGAAGTTTTCTAGCAGGAATGGCTTTTCCCAGCACAGTGGGACCTGCCTTTAGGTGGGACCTTATCAACCACCACAACAGGATACACAAAACAAAACCTTAAAGCATCATTTAAAAAAAGAAAGTCTCTGTTTCTCAAAGCATCCTCTGTGAAGAGCCAGGTACAGCTGTATTACTTTGCTCTGCCGAATCTGTTGGCTAGAATTTGCCCAGATGCTCCCATGTTTGTTTATTGCTACCACACAGCAGAACAGCATGAGTATCTATTTTAGGGAACAAGAAAACACCAAAATAAAAGAATGTTTCTTAACATTTGCTTCTAGAAAATAAAAAAAAAAAAACATTTGTAAGAGGGTGTTTAGACCAGTTTGGACTTGAAGGACTCCCAGTAACATTGGGTATCACCAGCAGCAAAAGAGAAGAGGTACTCAAAGATGCCAAAAAATAAGCTTGAGAACAGAGTATCAAAAAGAACCGAAGAAACAGCGATGCCATTAAAAGCAAGTATCCGGAGCTGAGACAGTACTGAAGGAAGAGACCACTCTCACACTCAATGTTCAATGAGCTCATTTCACTGTGGGGTGAACCACCCCACTCTTGGGGGCTCTGGACCTCAACTGAATTCAACTGCATGAACACGCTTACACAAGAAATCAGAAGAGCAAGAAAACGGTGCTGTTGTGCTGCTGCTCGATTCCTCTGCTAGAAACCAAACCTGTTCTCCTATTAAACTAAAAGCAAGTTTTATTTTTAGCTGGAGAGTGTGATTTAAAAAGAGATTTTTCTTATATGAAAGGAAGCTGCAAGGAGTGAGCAAGCGAGAAGTGCATTGTGGGGAATTCGGTCTGCTTCCAGCCTTGCTAGTGTCAAAAGTTAAATGAATTCCCAAGCCAGAAGCGCTAAAGAGAGATCTGTAGCTTGAAATACTTGGATGGGGACGGCCCCCGCTTCAACTTTAGGGTGTGAAGAGCCATTTGTGAAATGTAACAAAGCAATCGCACAATACCACCGAGATGCCACCCCGCTCCTCAGCGTAAGGCCCAGAGGCTGGGTGTGATGGGAAGGGCATCGCGCCGGGGTAGGGAGCCAAAGCTCTCAACACTTCTGTGCCCACAAGACAGGCAGCCGAGAGCAGACTTGCTACCGAAGCTGTTCCTGCCACCTTGTTCAAACCGTGTAGCTCCCTGATTTATTTAGCAAATTTTAAATCAGCAGACGGATTTACTTTGGAGAATCTGATTAGTGGCAGTATCGATCCGCACTGTGCAGCGGATCTGGAGAAGCTGCAGAGCAGGGTGAACTGCATTATAATCAACAACGCCCGCCCGCTCCCCCTCGCCAGGGAGCCGAACAGAGCCCCAGACTTGCTTACCCAGCAGGACCGTGTTTGTCCTTTGACTCAACAAATTCTTGTCCCATTTTCAGCTTCTCCCACTCTTCTTTCCGGGTCTTGATTTTCCGCGGATTCACATTTCCTCGGTTCGGATTCTCCTTTTTCTCTTTCTAAGGGAGGAGGAATCAAACAGAAGCCTTGTTTTGCTTTAAACTCACTGGGGATAGGGAGGGATAGGACAGACCTGTGGCAGTTTCAAGAAGACACGTTCTCAAAGAGGGCCAGGATTTTTAATTTACTTTCCCGATTGCTGCAAGCTCCAAAGATCTCCCATACAAAGAAGTTGGAGCACAGATAGCATAAAAACAGACAGACAACATCAGATTTCCCCAGTGCAGCCCAGACACGATGCCATCATTACTCCCTGGCATTACCACCTTGAAGGCAGAGCGAAAGCTCAGTTTCCCACCTCAATTCAGCTTTTAGCCTCTCTATCAAGACTGCCAAATCTCACCATCACCTTGCTGGTGTTAAGCGCTTTGGGCGTGCAATACGGACACTTGCCCACAAAGAACTGGGCTTTAACTAGCCTCATTCTCTGTGTTCTGACACACCCTAAATCTCTCCCTTGTTATTTTGATTGAAAAAAATCACGATCTGTTTTGATATTTAATACTCCAGTTGCTCAAAAGCTCAATAAAGTATGCCCAAACTGAATCTTTTATGGTGCAAGTTTCAGTGTTGGCAAACATGAGTCGAAATCCCCAGGCAACCAAACCAGGAACTCTACCTGGCATTTTCAGTTTAAATGGTTTTCTGAAGCCTCCCACTTGCCCCTAATTTAAAATTAGGGCCTGGGTTTGCACTCCTGAAGGGACATTTTCTCCCTTCTTTATTCTTCCACAGTAGAATTTATTACACCACTCAACACAGTGCGGTGCTGCAGCAGTGGGATTTGCACTGCTCCAACTCTGAACAGACCCCTTTGCAACATCAGAAGTGCAGAAAAGACTCCAACACAACTTTCTCCCCCGCTGACTGCACCAGCGCTATGTTTGAGGACTACAAATTAAGCCATTATAACCATACCAAGACAGTGGCATTTGGAAAAACAGATTAAGGGTATCTTTGTTTTCTTTTTTTAATTAACAAGGATGAGAGTAAGCCAGATAAAAACTTCACTGAATTGATCCCTAAAGAGTTTAAGAGAGCAAACCTGAATTCTGGATAGCAACTTTGGAGTCCAAGATTCATTAACACTTCCCACCTCCTATTCTTCCCTGACATGCCTCTGTTGGCAGAGATCTCCCATTTCCTCACCCTATGTTTCCGCTTCTCTTTCATAATATCCTTGGTGTCCTGAAGCATTTTCTCTTTCCAAAGGTCAAAGAAATATGAAGGATCTGTGTAGAATTTAAGAGCCTCTTTGCCATCATCCCTAGAACAGGGAGGGGAAAAAAAAGCAAAACAAACAAACAAGGACCAAGTCACACATTTGTTCAAAACCCAAAGAAAACACAAGGCACAACCCCAGATGACAGTTTAAAAGTCTGCAGTGAGAAAGTCAAACATGCTGCTCTCCCCTCTGCCTTCCATTTCAGAACAGGCAGCAGACCCACAGCCTGGCTTGTCCCGGCTCTCCCACTTGCCATCGCTTTCGCCCTCTCACAAACTCTCCATTACTCAGCACCTCAAGAGCTCATCCTCTCTGAACAATCACCAAGAGAGAAGCAGGTCTCTCACTTCAACTCCCACTTGTTTGTGTTGTATTTTTGATGTGGGGAAAAAAAAAAACCACAAAACTTCTCCAGCCTAGGAACCCTAAATGTGACCAGCAGCGTCCTTGAAACTCATGAGTGAGCACACACATGCACACACACTCTTCTCCTACTTTGCAGTGCAGCCGCGTCTGGCAGAAGACAGCTGCCTCCAGCTATCTGTAATTACTTTTTACCTGTTCAAAAGATATTTATGGATGTGGGCTAAGTCTCTGTATTCTGACCCCCTTTACTTCTACTACCAACAAGATGAAATCAGAGCGGGACTGCTCAGGAGAACTGGTTACACAGCCAGTCTAGATCACATCGGATGTCTCGGACCAGGCACAGAAGGCCACGGAAAACATCTCCAGATCTGCAGGAGACTGCTGCACCCACCTGGGTGAGAGCCATTTACAGATGTATGCTCTGCAGTTTGCACTGTGGCTTTCTGGAAGGGAGCCACAGGGCTACAGAGAAGCACAAGAAAAATGCCTCATCTGCACAACACCTAGTATGTTTATGCAGTGCCAGCCAAGCCTTGCCCCAGGGCAGTCACAAAAGTGACAGCAGGTAACCAAATATATCATTTTCTAGCTATGCTCATTTGTACAGCCCCAAAAGCAAAGTTTCACGTAACCCACAAAATGGAGATTTCCAGGTGGATCTCAGTCTAGCAACTCGATTTCCCATTGGAAACGGCTACTTCAGTACAGCCCGGGATAGGAAATGACCTCCTCAGCAGGTTGGGAGGAAGAGGTACTCCTCTGCAAGGGAAGAAGGGGCCAAGAAGGTGTTGCATCCATACCTGTAAGGCGAGAGAATGTTGAGAGGTGGAGGAGTATTGCAGGTCCTATAGGTTTCAAGGACAGGCACAGGGAGAGAATCTCTGTCGAAGAGCTTCTGGTCCTGAGTAGTGGAGCTTTTGAAGGCCTTCCTGGTGTTAATGCCTTGCAGGGAGACTGTAAGAAAGAGGAGAGAGCAAGTGAAGAACAGCTTGACCCAGGCCAATGACACTGAAGATCAAGTAGCAAACATCTGATTTCAGTTGGAGTTCTTGGCATGCTTTAGCACTTCTTAAGGTCAGGTTCCTTTTCCCACAGACCTCTTGGGAAACCCAGCAAATCTCAGATCATGCCGTGCCAAGATCCGCTGCTGTATAGACACAGCTCTCTTGAGAGTTACCAATGCGGTTTCAAACCCCTGCGACCAAGACTCAAGAAGCGCACCGCTATCAAACTGCTGAAAAGGGTTTCCACATAGAGACTTGCTAACGAGCAAGACTCGGCCAGAAAGTTTATCCACATGAGCAACACGGTGCTTGTTCAGGATGGGAGGAAACTGTCCCTCTTAGCCCAAGAGAAGACGTTCCAGCACCCATCGCAGCATCATGCTCATTTTACGGCTGTGAACCAACCACGCTGACTCAATGAGAATCTTTACCATGCTTGGTCTGCAAGGACTGCGCTCCACGCCATTACCTTCTTCCTCTTTGGGATCCAGCTGAGTGACTTTGACTTGCAAGCGGTCAACTCTCTCCACTAGAACGCTCACCCGAGAGGCAAAGGTGTTGGCTTGAGTAAACAACTCTCCAAATATGTCTTCTGCAAATTTACCTGGAATATTAAAGTGTCCGCATTACCCTCATGAGCCACATCAGACCACATTCAGTCTCCCAGCTTGTTTTCTTGAAGAATGAAGAAAGACAGAAGAAAAGAACCATGCTTCTTTTCACGTTTGTCAGGGTTGAGTTTAACATCCAGGAAGAAAATGCTCTGTTCCACCAAAACCTGACAGTTCCAAGGGATCTTCAAGCAATAAAGAAACAATTGAGACATACTTCCAAGTCACTATTAAAGTAACGAAATGAAGAGGGCTGACAACACTATACTGGCCTGAATCTGCATGGGTCTGTAGGTCCTTTAAGATTCTCTGCTGTTCTGTTTATTAGACAAGCACATTTTTATTGCTCTGGAGAATCTCAAAGGCTCCCAGTCTCCAGCAGGCCTGCCTCCAGGGTAACTGGCACATATTTACAAGCTCAAAGTACTCTGGAACTAGAGAGCAGACCCAGTCCTTGATCCTAAAGCCTGAGCTATAACCACAGACGAAAGCACTGACCCTTTTGTTCCTTCAGGTGGCAGTGTCTGAAAAATTGATGCATTCACGTTTATTCTAAATCAAAACCAAAGGGGAACTTCTCAAACAGGGATATTCTCTCTGTAACAGCTTGGATTGCCCAGTGGGCTGCTATGACAAACATCATCCGTTGTCTGGACTGCGAGAGTGCCTAGGGGCCTGGATCGGGAGCTCCCTGCATCACTTACAAGCATAAAAAAAAATAAAAATAAATCTCTCCTGTCCTTAAGAGTTTAAAATCTTTGCATGCAACAAGAGATGACCACAGGTAGACAGAGATGGGAGGACTGGAAGAAAACCAAGAACTTACAATAAGTACTGTCTTTTTGTTCCGCTCTCAGACATAATCCAAGCCAGGGAGCCCCAACCACACTGAGGACAACACTGATCAGAACAGACTTGGCACCGACAGCAGACATAGGCCCATGGAGTTCCCACTGATGGGAAACATTTCCAGCCACGGCTGTTGAGTACAAGGCTGCTCCCAATAAGCAGTCTGGTTTTGAAGTGCATCATCATATGGTCAACAGTTTGTTCTGGAATCTGTTACTCCTAAAGATCCTCTTCGACATTCAGGAAAGGATAACCAGTTGGAAGCCTAACTTTAACAGCAATTTCGGAAAATCTGGCTGTCTGCAATGAGTCACATCAGAAAGACAAGAGCTCCTTCCACAAGGCAACGCAAGGGCATCCCCCAAAGCCCAGCTGCACAAACACTTTCAGCTATCTAAACCGACGTATCAGCTACTTGTTCATACTCCCGTGCAGTTCTCCTTACACTGCCAAGCACGGGGAACCAGCCAGGTTAAAAATCAACCTCCTCCACCCCTTTTGGTGGCAATGCCAGGTTGAAATGTTTATAGGAAGCAAATGCTGGACCTTAACTTCAACTGACCTCCTCCTTCCACTCTCCTAGACAATACAGTCTCCACATACGCTCCGTTAACGAGCCCAACCAGCTTTCCTCAAAACTCATGAGAAGGATTTTATTTCTGGAGACCTAAGGGCCAGGTAGCTCCTGCCATAGCGTGGTTTCATGGAGCACTCCCTGTGTTCAACATCAGCACAAGACCAGCTCTCCTATATGACCAAAGAGAGCGGACATTCATCTATGGGATAATTGGACACCCCCTAGCAACAGTTCAAAAAAACCCTTGTGATTTGGTTTCTACTGTAACGAGAACTGAAAATCATTTCGGAATTTCACAAGGAACTGCAACAAGCACTAGGGAAAAAGAATAAAGTTTTTGATTTGCAATGCTTAGTGGTATGTTTCAAGCACAAAATAATATATAAACAGCATTGTATATATTGGTCTTGACCCTGTAGGGAGAAGAAGGGATGGTCCGTATTCCCTTGCCTGTGTAAGTGCACCTGTACAGAGTTATCATCCAGCATCTCACATACTGTTCTGTGTTTCGTGTACACTTTCAGATGGGGTAAGGCAGAGATTAATTTTTTGGTTTAGTTACTTCGACTGCAAAAGTGCAGCTTACAATCAGAATTATCTTTGTCATGCACTGGCAGGAAGACAGACGGCATGATTTAATAGGTCTTTCCATCTTTAGCTTGTGGATTCTATAAAGTCACACAAAAACGCACAGTCGACTTATACAAAGTGCTACCAGCTGTGATAGTAACGAAGGGTAAACTCACTGGAATATGAAAGTTTGACAAGATTTATGTTTGCATCTTTGTAAAGAGACTGTGGTGCACTAGGCATGGCTGATTATTCACTTGACAGGGCTGTCACAGCCTACTGAACCTGCTTTACGTTCCTGTAATATTCAACGTACGAGGAAGGAGCGCATTTCTTTTTCAGAAGTAAGAGAGAGAAAAGGAGGGCGGGGGGCAGGAGTTCGGTCATTTTGGTGCGAGCGTTCTGTAAGCAGTTAGTCTAAATATTGCTTCATTTAAAATACTGCTGACCCTAGGGAAGCGGGTAAGAGATGGTGCTCAGCATTTCCTCCCCACCTGCCTCGCTCCCCTCTCACACAGAAAAGCACGCAAGTGTCAGCAAGAGCCACCTCTCCCGAGTTTTCCCTCCAGCGCTCTCCTGGAGGTATCTGCGATTGGTCCAGCAGCACGCACCTCCCTCCCCACACCGCTGAGCGAGGCTCCCAGGGTACCTTCCCGATAAAGAAACCAGGCTGCAATTTGGCTTCCAGCACTTCACCCTCTCTGACGAGGCAGAAGCAGAGAAGCTTTGAATATTTGAGCTGCACAAAGAAGGTCTAAACCTCAAGGATCTCACCACGGCTCTGTCACACTAACCCACTGCATGCCTTTGGACTGGGATTAGCTTTCTCTGCAGCTGAGATTTGCACAGCTTTACTGCCTTCTTCCTCATCATTTCACATGCACGAGATGGATTTTGCTCACACTCCACAACCATCTTGGCTACAAGACCTAACAAATGAACAACAAGGGCCAGTTGAACGCGAGCAGAGAGACTGGTCATGCCTGTGCAGTGACATTTCTACAACCCAACAGAATGTGATACCGACTGGCAGCAAACACAGCCCCAGATTTTAGAAACAGCCATGGTTTTCACTGCTGGAAAGAGACTGCGCCCAAACTTTCCCTGCCACATTCACGCTATGGGGGAAGACAAGGGGCTTGCTTTGCAGAGCAAGCAGAAGTGCTTGCAGACACCACAGAGAAGCTAAACAATATATTAACTTGATTATCAAAGTCTTGCTTCAAGGGCAGAGGTGGCTAATCAGAATCCAGAGCGTTTCAACAGATTAAGGAGTCATCCCGGAGAGACCACAATTAACTCTTCGTTTCTCCTATGGCACGTAGGCCCACGTTTTCCCTCCAGTCTTTACAAGGATGTATTGGTCAGCCCACTGGAGAGCTGAGCTAGGCATCGCTACGGCTCGTGCTGCCGTTCGAGCGAGCAGCCCCAAACCCCCAACACTCCAGAGGCAACGCTTGGATCAGACTGGGGCCTTTGGGTCTTGCAACGCAACAAACAGCAGGGGCAAACAGGCGGCTTCTGCGTGTGCGCTTTAATTATCTTTCATTAAAAATAAGACTACTGACACACTGTAGATTCAACACAGTCAAGCTCCATTTAGTAGCGCGTGCAATTACAGGCACATTCCCTGACACAAGATCCTGGCTGCTCGGAGAGCCTCCCATTTTACAAGCCTGAGTTGTGCTCCATCCTTCCATCTGCAGTTTCACTGCAGCCTCTCGCACACGCACGCACACACACATACACACCCCCCACCACCACCCCCCTTCCCCATTTTCTCTTAGATAGGAAGGCAGTGGGACCGGGGATATGAAATTAGCATCAGATTTCTTTAGGAAAACATTTTAGCATTACCCAGGGAAGGCAGATGGGGGAGAAATAGGAACACGAGAGTAGAAAAGGAGCTAAATAAAGAGCACTAGCGACTCCTGAGGGCAACGCGCAGGCTCGCCATGGTACTCACTCAGGCTGCCCAGCTGTCGAATGACATTTGCCAGGGTGATGTTGGTCATGCATTCCAGCTCGCTTCGAACGCTAGGCAACGTCTGACGGCACAGGTGCCTTGGCTCAATGTTCCTCGTTACTAACGGCATGGTGGACCTGCTTCAGGCACTGTTCTGAAAGATGAAAAACAACCCAAAAAAGAAACAGGAAAGGATTACTCAACCGCAAATTCCAGGCACACCAGAGCCATGGTGTTCGTTTTTCCTGCTCTCAAATGGCTTTATTTATAAGCCTTCTTTCCCCCCTCCCCACCCTTATAAAACTGGTTCATCAGACATAAAGATCCTGCTGTTCTGTGACTTGCAGTGACAGCAAAGCCCCACCAGCTCAGGTACGGAGGAAGAGATGGAAAACTACACATCTTCGCCCACACGCAAGGTGCTGCTGGCATTACCGCAGCCGTTGTTCCCTTCCTACCCATCCGTCGCCTCTGAGCAGTCTCCTTCCTCCCGCGCTCACGCACGGCGTCTTTGGCGAGTCTTACAAGCGCTTCTTCAGAAATATTTTAAACTTTGCTTAAACTGCGAGGATGTTAAAAAAAAATAATAAATAAACCAAAAAAACAAACCAACAGCTTCTTCCAGCACACCAAAGCATGCGTGGTGCCTCTCTCCTGGAGCAGAAGAGACAGGGCTCTCCTGAAACAACAGGAAGCGCTTGCAGCTGACCAGGAAACTTTCTGGTGACTGTTCCTTATCCTGCAGGCTGCACCCCTCTTCCCTTGGGAAATCCCCCGGGGCCGAGGTTTACACTGGACCATTGTTTTCGTGCTACAGCAGTTTAACGTTAAGGGAGCTCTAATCAGGATGCAGGATTAGAGCGTGCTCAGAAAGAAGGCAAGATTGATTGTACCGCAGTCAGGACAAACTTCCAGTTTTTTCTTTAATAATAAAAAAAAAAATTAAAAAAAAAAAAAGAAGAAAACTTAACTGTCCGGAAGTTATGCTTTGGACAGAAAATGCTTTTATGTGCAGGTCGGTGCCTTGAACTAACAAAAATCTCCTCTGCTAACAGGCTGAAACATTGAAGCAACAAACAGCTCCCTCTCAGATCGTCCGCCTCCAGGAGAGAGGAGGAAACTTGGGTAAACAGCTCAGAACAAGGAGCATGATACCCGCCTGAAATCTTTAAGACTTAAGTGAAAGCAAATACATCCCAACTTCTTGATTAATTTAGAAGGGGAAAGAATCGCTTTTCTAGGTCAGCTGAGGAACAACCCCGGAGAAGCAGCCGGCTCCCATGTGATAGGCATGCTGATCTGCTCGGGCTGGGTGTAAAAATAAAACAGGAAGCTAACAGCTTGGGGAACATGGCTTCCTGTCACCAACAGCAAAAACCCAAGAACCATAAAAAATCAGCTGTTTGCTCTTGACTTTGAGCCACCCTTTGATAGTCTCTGTGGCAGCTGGCAGCTTATCTTTGAGGTCCAGGAGTCCTTCCTGGATGCTTTTCTATCAGGGTGTTAAGAGGAAGAAGTGGGCATTATCCCTCCTAATTACCTCACAAGCCAGATTTTGAATTGCTAAATTTGACCCATTAAGGCAGAGGAGTTCAAGAGCCGCAGCACACCGGGGCGCACGGATATCTCCCAGACAAGCAGATGTAGGTTGCCATTTTGCAACGCCTCTATGTGAAGGATTTGTCCCCGCGCAAGGAAAAGGTCCCCAAAACTGCACACCTTACAGAAGAAGGGAGCACGATCTGCATCCAAATAAATAAAAGCAGAGTCTCTCCGAGGACTGAGGACCGTGTTGTTCTTCACCGTGTCCAAGCACCGCAGCAGCCATCAGTAACTGCTGGGATATTTAAAGAACAGGGTGAACTAAGGAAGGACCCTGCCCTTCGCTTCTTAATACCCCGTGTTTTATCGATTACATCCCAAGCCCTACAATCTTTTGTCAGCTTTAGCGCTTTATGCCAGACAAACTTTCCCAGCTCCCCCCAGACTGCAGTCTGCACCAACAAGCAGCTCTCATAAACAAGGCAGCATTTGCAGGCTGCCTGCATCGAGCTTCTCCCCCGTGCTTCCCCAGGGCTCGGCCAGGGAGCACATGCGGTCGGTGGGATCTGCAGAGCCGGAGTGGACAACCCATGCACTGAGCCCAGCTGGAGACCTTCCAACCGCAGGACAGACAGAAGGAAAACAGCGCGAGGAAAAATAAGCCTGTAAGGGGGAAGAGATGTGAGCGCGCATGTATAAAAAGAGACAAAAAACCCCAAAAGATGATAGGTATGCTAGGTCAGATAGACCCAGGTAGCGCTCATCTCTGCAAGTATGGGGAGAACAGGGCAGAAAAATCAAGTAGTACCCCAAATACCCACAAATAAACAAAGGCTCAGAATATGTTGTCTGTATACAGCCCCCCCCCTCCACAAGTGTTTGCCTTTTGAAACTAAAAGCAAGGAGCAGCGGTGAAAGTTAAAAAAAAAAATAAATAAGTAAAATAACAATGGTACAGCACACGTACATTATGAAATTGCACTGGTGCAAGACAGCAGCGATAAGGGCTAAGAAAAACACTCCCTTTATAGCCTAGCTCATCCTGCCAGCCACCCCCACCCTCCCAGCACAGCCTGCCACACTCCACTGCAGAATCAAGAGTTTCGCCCTCGTGATTGCTACGACAGCCCTCCTCGCAAAGAGTACAGCAGCATTGCTTCTTCCCAAGGCGACGAGGACGGCTCTGCTGCCCCGCTGCTGCTGCTCGTAACACCAGTGAGGATCCAGCAAGCGGCCTTCAAACTAAAAGAGGAGATTAACCTCGCGGAGCAGCGGGGACAGGCAAGGCAGGGAGGACAAGGATGGGCTGTGGACAACCACCCTTCTGCTCTCCCAGCAGCCTCTGGGATAACAGGCATTTTAAAGCAAAAATTTCCTCTCCTCTAAGCGGAAGGACAAGGAGCTTCAAGGTTTCAGATGTTTTGGTAGGGCGGAGGCAGGCAGATAGGAAATCTGGGACCTACAACCAGAGCTTGGTGCCAACATTAGCAAAAAGAGCAGGCGATGTCCCCACAAGAAGGCACTTCAGTGTTAGACCTTGGTTTTCCCCATGAGTCTGTGGAGGGTAGCTATAGAGATAACAGCTAATGGGCTCCTGTAAAACCTTCATGCCTCATGAGTAGGTGGGACAAAGATTAATAGTCGGGATTGGAAAGTAAGTGGCGTAATTCGAAAGCAGCAGTCAGGAGGGGCAGAAAATCAACTGCGGAGAAGGCACAAGGTATGAGAGCAGAGGGAGAAGGAGGAAGCAAAACACTGGAGACAGCGCAAGGGGGGCAGGGAAGAGATGCAGTAAATGAAACAAGGAAGGGACAGACCTAAAAAAGCTTTCCAGGAGGCTCTTGCTTTTATTCTCTAAGAGAGTCATTAAGAAGCCAATTGACAGCACGCTACCAGCAAGGGCCATCCAGAACCGCTTTGCTTTCAGTGGTCAGGGCATGACAGCACAGCAGTTTTCCACCCCAGCTAGCCAGACTGGTCATCAGGCATTAGTCACTGTCACGTAACTACCACAGACCATATATTATAACTAAATCCTACCATTCAGAAGCAAGTTAAATGAATTGCAAGGCCAAAAATCCTTATCTTTCAGGCAAAGATAAGCGTTTCCACTTGCTTATTAATGTTGAAGATCAGATTTGTTTTCAGTACTACAGTTTGGGGGGTGCATACGCTGTTTTTAAGAAGCTGCAAGGATGGCACACCACGGGCACAGAGGACCTGCCCGATACCGCTGTAACGGGAGAAGAGAGGGAGAGCGTTAAAAGTAAAAGGAAACTGCCTCTAAGAAACAGAAAACTGTTTGCAACAGATTTCTAATGAATATGCAAAAAAAAAAAAAAAGACAGACAGCAAATTGAAACACAGCGCTAGCTATGTGAGGAGAGAAGTTAAGTGATCTTTGCTGGTTGCAGAGCACCACTGGTTGGGAGAGCTGGAAGGAAATGGGCCAACACTGAAGCCAGTCGTGTGCCAAATCCACAAACACTGCAGCATCAATCGATGTTCAAAATACTCATCCTCCCAACCGTCGTGCTTCACACCTTCTTAAAAACAAGAAGCAAGGGCTTTTGTTACGGTAACAAATGATTTTCCTCTCCCACTTGAATCAGAACCTTCCTACCTGCTCAGGGCAAGCATTTCCTCTGAAGTCTCCAAGTCACGGCTTGAAAAAAAGAAGGCTCCAAGCCTTGTTATGATGGCAGTGACTAAAAGCCAAACCATCTGAAAAGCCCAGCTTCGCCCGTAGCTCTTTTCCCTTCGCCTCCCTGCAGCTGTATGCTGCCCCACCTCCAGCCGGGCATTGCCAGAATTCCTCATAATTTCCCCTCTCCCAAAATGCTTACACATGCGTTGCTGAGCCCTGGCCCGCTCCACTGCCCTGTGCCGGCCCAGAAAAAGTTTGCTGAGCACGACAAAAGCCCTGGAAGCTGAGCTCACCGCTCCTACATTCCTACCAGTCTTCCAGCCACAACTGGCACCTCGTTTCCAGGATTCACAGCATCCCAGACTGGTGAGGGCTGGAAGGGCCCTCTGGAGCTCCCCCATCCCACCCCCCGCCAGAGCAGGGGCACCTCCAGCAGTGGCACAGGACGGCGTCCAGGCGGGTTTGGGATGGCTCCAGAGGGGGAGACTCCCCCACCTCTCTGGGCAGCCTGTGCCACTGCTCTGCCGCCCTCACAGCAGAGAAGGCCCTCCTCAGGTGGAGATGGAACTGCCGACGGTCACGTTTGTGCCACATTCCCTCTTGTCCTGTCACTGGGCACCACTGAACACAGACTGTTCCCATCCCCCGGCACCCTCCCTTGAAGGATTTCTAAGTATTGATGAGATCCCCCCTCAGTCTTCTTTTTTCTAGACTAAAAAGACCCAAGTGCCTCAGCCTTTCCTCACAAGAAAGATGCTCCAGTCCCCTCATCATCTTTGTAGCCCCTTTCCTTTTTGCTCCCCATCACCCTTCGGACCAACTCCTGTGCTTGTTCACTGCATATACGGTGGTCTCGGGCACCTCGTATTTCGCCAAGAAAGCCGGATCTGTGCATAGTGCTTCTTCACATGGCAGACGACCTGATACCCTGCTCGCTCCACAATAAGCTCTCACCTTGAATGCCTCGCTTACCAGTTTTTATGGGGATTCTGACTCCGGCAATTATTTCTGTAAATACTCTTGGGGCTCCGGGGAACAAGCATGGTGCAACACAGGCCCGTAAAGGGGAAAAAGAAAAAAAAAATATGCGACTTGCAATTTTTGCCTTTCCAAATCCAGCACTTTGAGCAAAGCACGAGGTAAATTCAAGATGAGCGTGCCGCTCTAAGATTCCTTATCAGCAAGTCATCGACCGCTCTCCCCATGAGCTCCGCTGTAGCGGATCACTCAGGAATCTCAGTTCTGGGTTAGAATCAAGCACAATTGGTTTGTTTCAAACAAGAACTGCCAGTCTATAAACCCCTTGCACAAAGCTGCGTCTTATTGACTATTTTTAATAAATAGGGCTGGCACAGTAAAATTGGACAATTGTTACCAACAATAAAGGAGACAGACTTTGATTACAAGTATTGAGAAGCAATACAGGGACATTTTAGGATTGAGTATTTGCTTTCCAACGTGAGTTCTGTCAGCTGAAAACAGCAACTCGGAGCAAATACTCCTTAACAAGCAGTTTGGAGCAGAGCAGAAAACAGCACTGCACAGCAAGAGAGGAACCAGCCTCTCTCTTTTTTTGTGTGTATGGCAGGCAGATAGCACAGTCAACACCGCGGTGCAGAGGAGGAGGCAGGCAGGACTACAAGGTGAGACGTGTGTATGCAACGCACACAAAGAGCTGTAAATAACAGGCGAGTTGGAGGGAAAGATCTGGCAAGGTTCTTCTCACTGGTATTTGACCAGCTAGCATAGCATTACTGGGAGTCACCTGGGTAATTCCCCACTCAATGTGACACACAACCTCTTAGATCAGGGACCATCTGCAAATAAATCTGGACCCCAGCAGTGATATCATCTGTCATAGTGTCTGGTGTAGCACAAAGCACCTAAGGAGGACAGAGCGCATTTTTGGGGAAGGGGAGGAAAATTAGGCTTGATTTTCAAGTACGTCAGGGTGACCAATCACCCTGCCCGCAGCAGGGCTTATAAAATCCTCTGCCCGGACACAAACAAGCAGCATAGCCAAGGAGACCAAGCCTTCAGCTAAGCGCCTTGGAGAGCAGCCTTTAGGAGTACCCATCGGGGGATTAGACACACCAGCAGGTTTGGGAATGAGGGAGGAAGGAGATAATCAGATCTGAAATTCCCATCAGTATGAAATGAGACTTAACTCAGTAGCTTGCCAACGCAGACTGACTGTTCTTTCTAATGTCTGTGACAACTCTGCTTCAAATTTCAAGCTTCTCTCAGCAGTAACTACTCCCCCATGTAGCTGTAATGGCCAGAAAGAGACTGGCTTTTATGTAACCCCAAAAGACTAGCAGAAAGGGAAGCAGCAGCCACACACGCACACACGGAGAACTGAGAAAAAAAAAATTCAGCAGAAGGCTCTGCTGAGTGCTCAGGGCTATATCCAAGCTCACAATGCAGCCACAGAGAAGTGGGATGCAGCAATCAGAAATGCTACAGTTCCACACTCGGAGAGAGACCTAGCAATCAGTGCTGCATCCGAGCAATAGGGAGTGAAATTATAGAGCAAACTGCCATGTGATGCCACAAACTACTCCATCCCGCCAGCTGTAACAAGTATTCATTCCCAAAAACGCGTCACAGGCTCATCTGTCATTAGCAGCCCAGCCTGCCAGCAGCTGAGCAGGAGTCAGCAGTGAAGGGCAGCTGCAGGGCTGCTTCCTTTCACAGTGGTCTATTCTCCCCAAAAGCCACAGGGGAGGGAGATGGACGGGTAAAAACCCCCAGGCGCCGGAGAAAACGTTGCCCACCATCTCTTACCAGCAGCTAAGATGGAAAGCGCAGGCTGCGTTTTCACCCACCATCGCACAAAAGCTTTCCTGAAGCAGGATCTACTGAAAACACAGGGCCTTCAGGAGAGCACAGTTACCCAAACGCAAAAAAAACCCCCATACGTAACCCCTCTGTATATTAATAATCCACTTCAGTCACCAACTCGGGAACTTCACAGATACAATCTGCTGGCGTTACGAAAGAGGTGTTTCGGTAATAGCGTGGGGCAAGAGCAACGCTGCACATTTCCACAGCGATGTTCTGACACTAGGAAACGTCAGCCCTGATCTCGCAGAATAACGAAGCATTGTACAGCGCACTGTGGAGTCCTTGAGACAACAAACACCCAGCCCGCTCAGTTCCCAGAGTAAAAATACTCTCTTTTTTTCCCTCCCCTGTTTTTTTTCTCCCCCCTCTCTAGTCTGCTGGCTCTGAAAAATGCAAAAGAGGCTCAGAAAGCCATTTTCTGCGTTTTTTTTGTCTGGCTCATGCATTATCGTCATCATTTACTGCCCTCAAGGGGATTGCACAGGTGTGACTGAAAATTTGGCTCTTCCTTTTAAACTTTTGTTGTCAGCTTTGCTGAAGATGATCTTGCTGGAATAAATGCCAGCCTGCTCTCCTGGAGAGGGACTCGCTCGAAGCTGCTGGCAGAAATCAAGCTGGGGGTGGAAGGATGGGGGTGTCACTAGCGGGGAACATACAGATCCTCCTAGCTTCTGTTGGAGTGCAAATACAGCCAGCAGTTTGACCTAGACTTTTTTTTTTTTTATTCCTAAAAACACATTGCCCTAATTAATGTTTCCATTCATTTAGCTGAAAAACAAGTTAAACAAAGAGGGTCACCTGGTGTTCCTATCAATTCTTGACTAGGATACAGGCAGAACAAATGCATTTAAATAAAACTCTAGAAGAGATGTGACAAGAGAAAGGCAGTTTAGCTCAATTAAAGAGAGCTGTCACAGGGATTTGATTCTCAGAATACAGAACTATTGATTAAACAGGAATTAAAGCTCCGAAACAGAAAGGTTTCAAGGTCTTTGCTGTGAGGATATACATCAGGAGAGAGGCAGGGCTCCTTCAGCGGCAGAAGAGCTCTGGCTTTGTTGCTTCCTAGGAAACAGAAGCAACGAAGGGAGCGGAACGCTTTCTGTTAAACCTATGGGTAGTTTTGGCAAGGATACAAGGTCAGTGACAATACAGAGTAGCGTCACAAGCTTCAATCAACAGGTAGCTTTGGTGTACGCAAGTACAGAAAACCCACTATAGGTTCTCAGATATTTTAGGAGTATGTGGGGAGAGGCCTGGTCAGTGGACAGGTTTCAGTCCATCCGCAGGTCTCCAACACCACCTGGTACGAGCCCGAATCACTGCCCAAAGTCAATGAGACTATTCAAAGAATCAGTCTCACCCTGTCCCAGGAGACAGGTCCCCTGAGCAGTAACAACCACCGGGGTTAGCAGTCACAGCAACCCAAGAGAGAGATGTCTACTAAACCAGGATGCCCACTCTGCCCCAAAAGCCAGTCCTTAAAGGTCAAGGCTGAGGAGCTTTCATCCCTTTGTCCCAATCCAGGCAAAATGCGCTCTGGATAAAGTCACAAGATTTCGTTTTCCAAGCCTTGAAGTCTGTAACGGCACTGAATTCACTTCAAACGGTCTTGACTAGAAGAGATGCAATTTAGGCGGCAACACAAGCAGCATCATTCCCAACAGCTTCACCTGGAGGTACTGCAGGTACCCGACCCTCACGCCGCCGCCGCGGGGATGCCTGTGCAGAACCACAGCCCAACTTCTGCAAATGGTGCACGGCTGCGAAAGCAAACACCGCTGAATCGCTCATTCCCAGGCTGAATTACTGCTAATGAGGATAGCATGTTTTCTTCCTCTCCTTCACACCAGCCTCCTCCAGCAAGAGGAAAGGCTTGTGCCTGTTAGCACTAACAAAGCGCTCGGTGCAAAGCACAACTCTCACAATACATCAGCACATTTTCATTCTAGGGCAGCGCTCGGTAATTAATACGGAAAGAGAGGGTGTGGTTTTTCTTCTAAATGACTTATTCCTGAAGTCTGAACATATTTTAACCTTCCTTTTCAGCAGATAAACTCTGTCTCATTTGCAGCTAAGCTCAGCCTCCCCTCCTTTAACACACACTAAACTATTTTGATTAATGAAAGAGTAGGAACAAACCAGTTCCAAGTGTTTTCTATACAGCTCAACTGCTCTTTCAGTTTCAACTCACGCCTAGATAATTATATCACAGCTCTGAGTGCCCCCACCCTTCTGCTCCACTTGGGGAATGCTGGAAAGATAAGTCTTTTCTTAATTATTAAATGTAAATAGCTCATTAAATATAATCCAATTACTTTAATTGTAAGAAAAAGGAAGTAATTACAATATGTACATGTATTCTTGCCTGAACAGTTTTAATATCTTAAATGAATCTTTGCAACATTAATATTTTAAGTTAACCTTTGACACAAGAGTAAAAAAAAAAAGACACTGAGTCCCTGGTATTTTCCAGAAGTGTTATATCTTCTGGGATTTCTGTCACAAAAAAGCAAGAGAACAGCCTTGAGCATCTAAATTAAAGTGGTTTATGAACAGCGTCTTTATAATAAAAGTCAAAATAACACACAGGTTTTCTATTGCGGAGGAGAAAAAAAAAAAAAAGAAATACACATGAGGCTATATTAAAACCCTCGATATGCTTTTTGGATCTCAGGAGTCAAGTGAGATGGGTACTACTATGAACTGGGGAGGACAGGCAAGCCCCACCCCACCAGTACCAAAAGCCACCACCGATCTGGGGTTTTCCAGGCAGCTCTCGTTCCCCAGGCCCACGGTTTGTCCTGTCCAAGGGTGGGAAGAACCAGGGCTGGGGGAGAAGGGTCCTGCCCCATGTCTGGGATTACCCAGTTCTTCCGCAGAGGTGCCCAGTGAGGTAACCCCACAGAAACACCCAATCTGGTTTTTGTGTGTGCACAAGCCATCTGTGCAACGTACGGGCACGGCGCATGATCCCGGGCTGCCATTTGGGATTTGCAGGCAGAGCTGCAGGAAGCTGCGAGTAGCAGTCTTCTGGTTTTGCTCAACAGCATGACAATCCTTGGACTCACTTTCTCCATCCATGCAGCCAGCGGGACCGAACAACCTTCCAGGCAGACTTCAGCAAGGCCCCACTGTTTCAATCAGCCCCTCTGGTCTGACAGAGCAGGGTCAAATTTCAGCTTGGACGTGGTGACAGATGCCTGCGTAATCTCCTTGGGACAGTCAGAAAAATACTCTTTTTGAGCTGTAGTTGTTTCCATTTTGCATGTTCTGAGCCCAGCAGTGATCTCACCTTATGTAATCTACAGTGCTCCAGGCTCTGGACCATCCAAAAGTATTTCACAGTGTTTGAAACCATCACTTTATTGAACCGATCTTTTCAGGAGAAGAGAGATTAGACTGTATTAGGGATGCTAAAGATGCAAGTCTTTCTATCAAAGCTCACCACAAGGTCTATAATAAGCTGCTTTATGGAAACCTCTCATGTGAAGCCAGACCCTAGATGTAACCTCCTCGATACAATATTGAATTCTCAATAGCAACCAAAAGGCTATTTTGTAGAAGTTAATTACAGGCGTTTTTAATTTAGCCTCCAAAAGGGAAGTGGCCAGTTATTTCATGCTGCCCTAGACAGAAGGTAAAGGTTTTACACAAGCTGTGTTTATAGCTATATGCCTTCCTCCAGCAAAGGATCGGCTCAGCAGCTGTTGGTACTGAAAGAACAGGATCTGGGTGTGTGCACGGTTCTCTCTCACTTTTTTTTTTTTTTTTTTTTGCAGCTGCAAGGCCAAAACCATAAGAGCGTGTGCTTTTTCTTACGGTGCACAAAAGCAGGGTGCCTGAAAGGGAACTCGCTTCCGCTCTGGCGAGCACTCAACGAACTATTTGCTGGGCCAAGGGGTGGTCGGGGAACTTTCACCCATCCATTCAGCCAGGGCCGCTATTCTCCCTCCCTCCCAATTAAATCCCATTTTTTGCACTCCATGCATGAACCGCAGCTACACCAATACATCAGATATTGTGGCTGATAGCCTTCTCTGAATGCCACTTAAAGCCCTCCAGTGCGGAGCTGCCTGAAAGCAAAGCATCATTCATTCTTTGAGCAGAAAAAAAAAAAAAAAAAAAAAAAAAAAAAGACTTTTGCTACACAGAGACTTGAAGTAAGACTCTAAGAAGGAAGAAAAGGGCATCCAGTGAAAGAGGAAATGAGAAATTAAAACCACATTCAATCTTATTAGTGGTAATACAATAGGTCAACAAAGTACTTTGCAAAACTCCACAGCATGTGAACAATTTATGCAGAACTCGCTCCTATGCGATCAGTGACACCAGCCAGTTTGGCTATTATGGCAAAAAGCAAAGATTGTCCGTGGCTATTTTAAATAGCCCAGCTGGGAGGGGAGATGGTTGGAGATACTACCTCCATGTCTTGCAGGAGAGTACACTTACGAGATGAGAACAGGAGCAATATTGTCCCCTCCTCCCTTTTCCATCTGAAACATTTTCTCTCTCTAGGGATTTCCAGCATCTTATAAGCGAAGCCTCTTTGAAGTACCGCAAAGTGGCATTGCTCATCATTTCAGTAATGATAGTAAATAAGCCCCAGTATTTTGTTGATCCTTTTCCTTTTGCTTTACAAACAAAAGGTCAGAGTCATTAGCCCAGTTTTATGAGCGGGGGAAAATGGAGGCTCGGAAGAGGCAGGTTGCTCTGTAACATCATCAGAAACGTCAGCGAACAAACAAGACAAGAAACTCTAAGCCACAGGACTTAAGAATAGCCATGCTAGGCCATCCAGCCTCCAGATAAACCAGCATCCTCTGTCCATTGGTGGCCAGGTATCAGCTGCATAAAGAAAAGAGCATGAGAACAAAGCAAGCACAGAGCAACAGTTCTCCCTGCTGTCCTTCTCCACGTTGCAGCATCCCACCACACCTTAAGACCACACAGAAACAAACATTATCATTTAATTTACCTTTATGGATTTCACTTCCATACACCGGTCTCTTCCATTTCTGAACTCATCTAAACAGTTGGCATCCATGAAATCCAGGGGCAGCAAGTCCTACATTTATCATACGCTAGGTGAAAAGACGCTTCCTTTTATGCCTGTCACTTTACAATTAGGAGATTTTAATCTCCAAGCTATGTGTGTCTTTGCTTCATAAAGAAGTTGTTCGAATAAATGCATCCATTCATATTAAACAAGCACCTTCCGAGAAGAAGGTTATCTGCCTGCATCTTCCAACACTAGAGAAGCTCTCAATTCTTATTGAGCACTTTCAGCAGAAACCAAAATAATAAACCCGTGGTTTAGGTTTGATTTTCAGCAGCAGTAAGAATAAATTATTTTTAGCAGACAGCTCTTTGCGTGTTGTCTGTCCCATTCTCGACTGTGCACCACTTCCAACACTAACGCAGGTGAATGCAAACCCCCAAGGCAACAGGTCGCTAGTGACCTGAGAGCAGCTCCTCTAAAGCCATGGCGCAGCAACATTCTCCCATGCAGAAATTTAAGCCCTGAAGAACAAATGCTAACTGCTGCTGCTTTGCAGACATCTCCCTTCTTCCTCTCTTGGCATCACAGCGTCCTTTAAACCACCATTTCTCCCCAAAGCAGGTTTGGGATAAGAGGAGATAACGCAGAAGGCGTTGAAGGAACAGAGTAGGTCACCACTGACCCCATTTCTGGGAGACCAACTGAGATTCCCTGTCCTTTAAACTTTGTTCATCAAAGCCCCCAGGCAGATGCATACTTGAGATATGTCTGTGCTCCACCACTTCTCCAGTAGCAACATAACACCAGAAAGCTTTACTGCGATTTCAAGAATTAGGGTAGGATCTAGAGGAACTATTTCCCAGGCCCATTACTGCAGGGAAGGCGAGCTCAGGATGGAGAACGTGATTAACGCTTTGCACTGCCGCTGTGCTGCTTGCTCAACAAAATAATGTAGAAATTCACATTTCAGTTCTTCTGGGAGGGGACCTGCCCGCTACAGTCGCCCAGGCAGGGGGGAAGAAAAGTCCTGCAGACCTCCAGATGGAAAACCAAATCCTATATAAATCAGAATCAGGCCTGAATCTGATAACCTTCTGGAGAAGCTCCTGTTAGCAAGCACGCCCTTTGCAGTGGAGCCTGATCGGCAGCACCAGTAGCCTCCCCTCCTCAAAAAGAAAACACACAGTCTTTTTTATTACAGAGTTGCAAAAAATACAAAGGAAGTAAATGTCACCGGGGTGGTTCTGTTCTGAGCAGTCATTTGCTTATTACCCAGAAGCCATTTCCACATGCCTTTTTTTAAATTCAATGTTTATAAATACCTAAAATATTTAAATAAATGTTAATCTGCGGTAACTAAGGGCCCGATCTC